GGGATTGTGGATAAGGTTGCCAGGTCCAGGCTGGGAAACTCCTGGAGATTTGCGGGTGGAGCCTGGGGAGGACAGGGGGCTCAGTGGAGTACAATGTCACAGAGTCCAGCCTCCAAAACATCAATTTTCTCCATGGGAAGTTATCTCTGTAGTCTGGAGATGAGCAGTAATTCCAGGCATCCCCAGATCCCACCTGGAGGCTGGCATCCCTAGGCAGCACCCTCTGGGTGACTTGATACCACCTGATTTGCATGACTCAAGTAGGCCCAGCTGCTTGCTACTGTTCATCAGCAGCCACCCTATGAAAGCCAGTGTGATGTAACAGTTAGAGCTTCAGAGTAGGGTCTGCGAGACCCAGGTTCAGATCCCCATCTTGCGGTGGAAGCTGACTGTGTGATTTTGGACCAGTCACATACTTTCAGCCTAGCCAACCTCACAGGGTTGTTGTGCAGATAAAAAGGAGGAGAGAAGTTTCCGGTCGATGGCTGCATGACTGCGGACTCTCCTCCCGGACCTCCCGGGGAGGTATCCGCGCTCTGGCCAAAGAAGGGGGAGAGCAGGCTCGTGAACCCCCCCAGGGGGGCGGGGAAGGGGCCCTGGCCAAGGAGCTTTAGAGGGGTAGCCTCTTCGATGGCAGAATGCCAGAGAATCGAGGCTCCCCTCTGCTCCAGTGGTTCTTCGTGCTGAGAGGCTGAAAAAGCACTAGTGAAGCTAACTGGATCAAGCATAGGAGATCAAGCATTTAAAACGATGAAAGAAGAGTGGTCGGATGACCAACTATGAACGTGAGTCAACCGAGAAATGAATTTTAAAAGAAAAGACGCTCCCCACCCCACCTTGCGGAATGAGAAAAGTGAGCAGGGGGGGACGCCTCCCATGCACATGAACTTTTAAATGAAAGGGGGGGGGAGCGAGCAGAGACGCAGAAAAAACTGTTTAGATATACTCACCAAGGTAGTGAAGCGGTCGAGCGCATTTCAGAGACTTTTAAAAAACTCCCTCTAGGATTCTCTAAACTCTCAGGTGCTCAAGCATGCTAATTTCTGATTTCCTTTTAACCCCCCCCCTTTAAGTGATGCCCCTGCTCTCAATGTTTTGTGGGCAATAAGCATACTCAGTCCTTATAAAACTTTTTTTTTGCTTTTTCTTTCAATTAACTTACAGTCATATTTTCTGCATACCTGGCAAGCTTTCAAGTATGTACAAAATCCAATCTCTTCCATGGTTTTCCTGTTTTTTCTGCTTTCATGATTGTTACAAGCCCCATGCTTTATAAAGTGATGGTGATATACAGTGCCTTGTGAAAAAAGAAAGGCATTACTTCCTGGTAAAGGTTCAAATATTTTCTTTTCTTCTGTTCCTGTAGTAAACATCCAACACTGAATTCCAGAAGTGCAATGCTGGATGAGTGACGGGGAAATTAAATGTATGGCTGTGTTGGTTGTGT